AATGAATGAGTTGTGCAAAGAATATTCACAGAATCTAGACTTTTATTCATTAGACAATTCTATCAAATTCTTCCATATATTATAGACATTTATGCGTTTTGTTTAGTAAAGTTATATATTAATAAATATATTTGTATATAATTATATTAATAATAATGATTATACTGTATATCGTATACTGAATATACCATAATATTATTATATTATATAATCGTAAAAATATTTTTATACAAATAATTTTGTTGAGAATATTTTGAGGACAAAATCAATTATCTCTGGATTTTGTACTCTGTTTTCAAAGAAAAAATTATCTAAAAATATAATTATGAAGACTTTGGAAATCACTTCATTGGGAATCGTAGAGATGAGTGCTTTAGTTGCCATTTTCAGTTTGAGCAAGGTCCTCTTTGCTCGCAAACTCCTCCAACATCTCCAACGCTCTCAGATTAATGTCAGTCGCAGTCCTTTCCTTCGCGTATTGATCCTCATATGTCTCTCTTTCGCGGATCAGCGTATGTGACGGTCCGTCGGATATAAGCACTTCTGCCGCACGATTACGGCTGTTATAATTGCTCGACAATGTCATACCTTTAGGGGTTAAATATAAGCAAACGCTAAACAATTGACACTAAAAACCAAGCTTAAGCTTAAGGCATACCATAAGCGCCGACATCGCAGATGGCGAGCGCGGAATTGTTCTCAAGTTTTTGCGATAAAATTAAGTCTCTGAAGAATATGTCGGTTGACTCGCAAATGGGGCCAACGATGTCGTACTTGTATTCGGAGGGCAGACCCGGCAACTGATCCACTTTGGCGTTCGAAGGGATGATTTTGTGCTGTTGTCCGTAGAGAGCGGTTCGGGCGAAGTCGTTGAAACCGGCGTCGACCACAACAAACGCTTTGTTAGCTTTTCCGGACTTAGCGCTAGGAATGGAGCTCTCGATGAGTGAACCCGAACGCGGAGAACTCGTTCCCGAACCGCCGACCGAACCGAATCTCTTCACGTACTCGATCTTCGTTAGCAGTATTCCCGCGTCGGCCATAAGACTGCGTCCGGGCTCTAGAACTAACTTCAGACCTCTTTCGGTGATAGGTTTGGCCAACTTCTCGACCCACGCGGGAATGTCGGGCACATCCAGATTAGTGGCGATCTGTGCGGCGAATCCGCCGCCGAGATTGATGTGCTCAACCCATATGCGATTCTCTTGTCTCAGTGCGTCCGCTAAGGCCAACAGTTTGTCTCGCGCTTCGATGAATGGCTCCAACTGTTGGATACTTGAGCCCAAATGACATGATATGCCCTTCACTTTGAGATGTGCCGAAGCCTTCGCCCGATTGTAGATCTCCGGCGCCTCCTGTAGAGGGACTCCAAACTTATGGATTGAAGAACCTGTTAGGATATTGGGGTGCGAATGGCCTGTCAATTGTAGTCAACATCGTTAGGCAATTCAATGGCAGTTCAAACAAATCAATATTTCAAAATATTTGCGAAATAATAATTAAAAAACTTAATTTGTTATCTAATATTTGGTCAGAAAATAGCGGTTTGAAAATTAACTATAAATTACATTTGGCTAATGAAAGAATTAATTCATAAATAAAACATGTTTTTATAAGAAATAGTTTATAAAAAAATCTCAAACCTATTAAAAGAAAAAACGATATCTTTTTTAGATTAAAAGAAGTAATAAACAGAAAAAGTGAGAGAATCTATCCATTCATTGGAAATATATAGAAACAACGGTTCAATCGATACCTTCAAGATTGACGTCGGGATTGATACGGATGGAGACGTTTTGCACTTTGTTATGGGCTCGAGCTCTGTCTTCGATGCGCTCCAACTCTGCCCACGACTCGACATTAATGCAAAATACTTCAGATCTGACGGCGTAATCAATTTCCTCAATTGATTTTCCTGGAGATATAGGCGTTGAGTAAATTAAATACACAATCGCTTTATATATCTATCAATTATCGTTTCAATTACCACATCCGCTGTAAACGATTTTTGATGGATCGACGCCAACGGACAGACATCTGGATATCTCACCGCCAGAAACCACATCAAAACCACAGCCAAGACGTGAGAAAATCTCCAAAAGTGCAACGTTTGAATTGGCCTAACGATTGTCGTCAACAAACATATTTTATAGCCCATAAAATTAACGCTTGTTTATAATAAATGCATACTTTGACGGCATAGCAGAGCATAAAATTCTTGAGATTTCTTAGAGAACCCAAATAGACGTTATAATTATCGGTCAAACGATTCACATCATAGACATAAAGAGGAGTTCCTGTCGATAGAAATTTAAAATTATTTATTAAATATAATTCTGTAACAAATATTCATTCAAATTAATATTTCTT